GAGGCCGGGATTAAGCTTAGGGCTTGGGGCAGAATAGGAGTTGGTTGGGCGAGGCCTTGAGGCTCCACTGGGCGGTGTAAGCGGCGAATCCCACGCCACCCCAGGCCGGCTCCCGGGCTGACGTGGTCGGATTGGGCCTGTGTTCACAGATCGCTGTGGAGAATGGCTTCGGGGGCGTGCACAGCCAGGAGAAGGCCGAGTGGCTGGGGGGTGCAGTGGAGGAGTATTTCTTCCGCAATGGTGAGTGAATGTGAGGGCCTGTGACCGGTGTGTTGGGAGGGTGGAGGCGGGGAGGAGGAGGAGGCGGCCGGTGGTGGGGAGACCGCACTTCCTCTTGCGCAGTTGTCAAGTTGGTGTGAGGGCGAGTTGGAGTGAATACAGGCTTTGGAGTCTTAGGGGCTGTGTCATTGACTCATGGTATCACTCTGGACAAATCATTTTACCTCCCTGACACTCAGTCTTAATTCCTTAAAAATAGATATAAAAGTATCCACCTCAGCGCTGTCCAATAGAAATATGCGAGTCACATCGTGTAATTTAAAATTTTTCAGCAGCCGCTTTCGTGAAAAGAAGCAGATGAAATTGTTATTCAACTCAATATATCCAAAATATTTCAGCTTATAATCAGTATAAAACATTAATGAGATATTTTACATCCTTTTTTAGCATTACGTTTTCAAAATCTAGTGGGCGTTTTACAGTTTTAGCACAACTCGTTTTGGCCTAGCTACATTTTAAGAGCTCAGTAAGCACATTTGGCTATTTGAACAGCAAAGATCTATCCATTTGATGTGTCTTGAGGGTCATATAAGAAAAAGGGGCCCTGCAGAGGCATCTTGCATAGTATGATTTTTACAAATTTCTTCACTTAGTTTTTTAGTCTTGGAGATGACATTAGGCAGAGATCTCTCAATGAAGTTCACAATCTAGTAAGGGATCCAGATAAGTAAGTAGGTATTTACACAGGGCGATAGATGCTCTAATAAAGAGCTCAAGGTGTTTGAGTAACATGAGACTGGGGAGGAGGCTTCTTTTGAAGATTGTTAGGGGAGTTGGTGATTGGGCTGAGTTTTAAGGGATGAGGAGTTAACTAGGTGGGGGAGACAGGGAGAGCAACTCAAATTCTGTGGTATGAGATTATGTGTTATATTTGGAAAGTAGTAGGGTGCTCAGTAAGCGCTTGTGAGTGTGCACACACTTGTGAGTGTGTGGAAGGGAAGAGTGGTAGAGTATGGGGTTTGGGGATGCTTCTGGAGAAGGGTAAGATGTGGAAGGCCTTATGTGCCTTTTATATTGTCTTTTAGGCCAGCTTTTGCCAGAATGCATGCTATGGAAGACTAGTTCTGTTAGGTGTTCAGTGAAGAAACTTCTCCAGTCAAATTATGTAAGAAAAGCTTTTTTCTTCAGCTCTTACTTAAGAGTCATAATGATCATTAACATAGTAAAGGCTTGGATCAGGATAAGAACCACTAAAAAGAAGCCTGTTTATCTTTGTTTCCCATTAGCTTTATATGGAGAAATTTCCTTTAAAACCAAGCAGGACAGTTATTTCCCAAAATTGGAATATGAAGCACTGCAGTAAGTGAGAAAAATTAATGGGCAGTTTCTAAGGTGAGTAACAGGATGGAATTTGCTGGCTAGAAGGTTCAGAAAGTAATCAACATGGAGCATGGACTGGAGAGGGAAAGACTAAGGCTGTTTCTGTCTAGAAAATGATGAGGCCTGAACTAGCGCAGTGGTACTAGTCATGGAAAAGGAGGAGTCAATTAGGGCCTTGGAGATTATTTGGCTGTAGAGGGGGAAGGAAAAGGAGGCAGGATTCTGGTGTGGGTCTGCCATGCGGAATAGGTGCCTTTCATGGAACAGTAACCCTGGAGATGAGAAGTAGGTTTGGAAGGTAAGGTGATGAGTCTGGCTTTGGATATGGAGAGTCTGAGGTACCTGTGAAACAGGTAGAACATAGTCTGTGTTGGAGACATATTTAAGGGATATT